GATACACCAGCGCCAAGTGAGTGTTCTGTCTAAGTGGAAACGAACAAGACCCCGTATAACTGAAAGTGGCCACGACAGAAGGACCTGGGCAGTTGAACAGCCCTACTCGCCGAATTCGTTCAAGTCTTGCTGTGTGAAGGTCCAAAGAAGCCTGTGTTTGTTGAAGGGGCCGTGATCAGTGAAATTAAGGTGCCCCAGTTGCCATTACAAAGTCGGGAGTTCGTGATCAAGCGCGTTGTGAAGTGGAAGTGTATTTTAAGAATTACGAAAGAACATTGTTAGTAAAGTGTAAGGTGAATAAGGACAATAAAAAGAAGCAGTGATACGTACCTGAATGGAGAAGCCAAAGAAAATGGAAGGCGAAAACCGTCTGATAACACTGGTAGAAAGTATGATCGGATTAGTTGTTGAAGTGGTGAAAAGTTTGCAGAAACGAGAGACAAAAGTGAAGCGTTACAGACCTCGGTTGTGCTACGTGTGTAGGTGCAAAGGACACTTGGCTCTTTCGTGTCCGTCCCTTGAGAATCGAAATCGTGATCAACGTTTGAATAACGGGTGGATCGATATACGTCGTGTGGATGGTGGTGAAAAAGAGAAGCGTGAATGTCGAGAACGTGGTGTGAAGGTACCTAAGAATGAAAAAGAAAAGGTTAACAAGAGAAATAAACGAAGGAAAAGGAACGATACGTACTTGAATGATGAGGTCAATGGTATGAGAGTTCTTCGGCTTGTGAATGTAGAGAAAGCAGACGCCAAGGACGAAAAGCAAACCTTCGAATATTATCAAAACGGAATTAATGGTGAACAGAAAGGTGGCGATTTGAATGGATACTGCGGCGGTAATAGAATCGAAGTTGAAAAAGATAAAAATAAAGCATTCGAATATTATCAAAATTCAGCAGATATGGAACATGCTGATGGAGTGTATAATGTTGGACATTGTTATCAACATGGAATTGAAGTTGATAAGGACGAACAGAAGGCAGTCGATTCTTACCAAAGATCTGCTGAGGATGAACGTAAGGAGTCTGAATGGGATTTGAAATGTGCTGAAGGTGATCCAAGAGCACAAGACAAGCTCGGACTATGCTACCAATATGAAATTGGTGTCAACAAGGATGAACATGAGGCGTTCATTCGTTATCAAAAATCCGCCGATATGGGACATGGTGAAATGGTACGACCTAAGGCATTCGGCTATTGCCAGAAATCTGCTAAAAATGGTAATTTAAATGGACACTGTAGTCTTGGATGTAGTGGCCGAATTGAAGCCGATGATAAACGATCCGGTGCTGGAATTATCAAGCCTCAAAGTGGTGATAGAACCGAAAGTTCAAGTGAAGATGTCAATGCTGATAGAACCGATGGTAACGTTGAAGATACAAAAGATCTGCTACGAACGTCCAGATCCAAAGATGATGATATGAAACTAAGGAAAGGGTCGAATTATGGATTGTTGACCAGGTGCCATTGTGACGTCAAACGCGGATGGGATAGAAGTGACACGCCTAAAGCGCAAAGACCATGTGCTGGGAATCCAGTGGTGATATTGAATTTGTTGGATCAAGTTAGGAAAAGAAGGTTCTACGATCGTATCTACTTGGATCATACGATCGGCTGCGATGGTGTGGAGCATGCGATATTTGGAAACATGCGCTCGGGTTTGAAATGATGCTGTAAAATGCAAAAAAAAAAAAAAAAAAAAAAAAAAATTTTTTTTAGTGTTAGTGTATGTGTTAGTTAATAGAATAGTGTATTGCATTATTAGTGTGTTAGGTAGTATTAGGTCAG